GTATGGCATAAGAAGGAACGATTGGCCGTCGGTGATCAGTCCTGTGGGAACGATGCTCCGTCCTCTCGAGGACCTGTAGTCAATGGTCTAACCGCTGAGGCATGCAAGACATGAGTGCCCCCCCCCCGCCCATTGGCATATAGATTAGCGGGGAATGGCCCGCATAGCCCCATAGCGGCAGGGATCAGCACGTGGGGTCACAACACATGCGGGGGAAGAGGGTGGCGCGGCAAAGACTGAGATAGACCTCTCCCGTCTTCCTTGGCCGAAAGCGAGGGCAACACAGGCACCAACGCGAAACTGGAGTAGAGATAACGTCGGTTTCACACTGCGCACTACATCGTCCGCTGGACGTCCGTCACTGAGGGTGGTTTTACATCTGACCTGATGAGATTCATGATCGGGTCGTATCCTCAAAGGTCCCAGCAGCACTGACCACTGACCATTTCACCACCCACCCGCCCCCCCCTCCCTTCCATATCTTAACCGATTATGTTCCTTCCCCCGGTGTGGGCCTGTCTAAACCGCGGTGGCTTTGGTGGTAGTACTACTACCTGTTCTTCGCAATGGTCAAAATTCCCAGAGATTGGGCTTCGAGGAGGGTGAGTGTGACTGGTCGTTGTTTTCATCCGGGTTCGTTTTTTTTTTCATGTTGTGCCTGTCGAAGAGCTGGAGAATGGTCTGTGGTTGTCTAAGAGCCTCCTTCTTATCCTTCTTTCTGCAAGAGTTGACGTTGCTCGCGAAGTGAATGAGAGGCTCCCTCGCGTGCGCCAAGCCTTCCGGGAGATGGCGCAGCTTGTGATGGGCAGCCAAGCAAGGCTCCAAGGCTTGTACGGGTGGGCGCCTGCCGTGGTTGTCCGCCTTAGGGGAGAACGAAGGCGCTGGCCTCCAGCGACGTGTAGGGGGCAGCGTTCCCAGAGTGTGCTGCGCGCCTTGGTGCCGTCGAAACCCCCTCGTTCCTTCTTGGCGAGCGCGCGGGACATCACGAAAAGGACAATGCTTGTCCCGATTCGATTTCACGCTGCCCAGAGCTAAGAGTACATGTATTTCCAGTGGACCCTGTTGCCGACATCCGTTGTACGACCGACCACGTTGGCCGATAAGATTCGCATCCCCAAGAGCTGCGAACACGCATTCGAGTGGGCGTTTCCAGGTCGTCCCGCGTACTGCACCGTCGTACCGTTTTTTGTTCGGTTTCGCGGCTAACCGTACTGCCGACCGCGGAGCTGAAACCATTGAAATACCATTCACACCTTGAAATGTCCTGGGTTAGGTGGCCGGCCCTGATGCCTTGGGTTGTTTGGCGCGAAGGGTAGAGTTTGCCGGTGGCGACGCCAATTGAGCGGCAGTATGAGATGGCCTTCGGGATTTTTTCCCGGGGCAGCCCTCTGGTGTCCAAAAGTCCTTGTGTTGACCGTTTTCTCACCCACCCAGGTGAACATCCGTTCTCTCATGAAATGTCATCCGTAGACCCTTAAATCCAAAGATTGGTACCCCTCCCCCCCCCCCCCCCCCCCCCCCCCCCCCCCCCCCCCC